AATTTTAAGAAGTCGCTATTATGCTAACTTCTCTAAAACAAAAAAGAATTTTGATTATTTTTAATAGTGGAGTCCTATAACCCTAGCATCACCACCCTAAAAAATTTCGCTACCAGAGTTAAGGTTAGGTTAGAGTTAGGGTTTGGGTATTTTTAGTTTAATTTTATGTTACACCTGATCTTAAATTTTAATTCTGCCCAATTGTTAAGTTGGGGATGCTAGGGTGGTGTGGAGTCCTAGTCCTACAACCCTAATAAGACTTTCTATATACTTCTTTTTTGTTTATTCTTCGTAGTTTTCTTTTTTTAAAAAGCACTTTAAACTGTATAAATAATACAAAATTAAATTGATTTAAACATCCAATCATACGAATGTCTGCCTATGACTTGGCTACGTTGAGCAAATCGATTTCCGGACTTTTAACTGTAAAAGATGACGTTATGAGAGAATTGTTCAAGTATATTAGATGGGGAAAATACATACGATTACAAATGATAACAATAATAATAATTATAATAATAATAGTATAATAAAATATATTAATATAATAAAAAAAAAAAAGGACCAAAATAAGCGTGGTTATTATGCTAATGAGACCATACGTTCAGTGTATACATGAGTGCTATGTAATATCGAAATAAATTAGTCAGTTACTTATTGCTATTACTGCTTAAATTGTTTAGACCATTGGTCGAATAGAATTTGTGATCTTTAGCTTAATAAGGCGACTGTATTTGTACGTGAGAGAAATAGCTTACGGATTTTAAGTTATTTATTCTCTAGATCTAAAAATATGAAAAATAATCACATTCCGTAATTAGTAAGACGATCGACATATTAGCGTTAATTGACGCAAATCAGCATTTGAAATCGTCAGCATTATTAAAAAATAATTACGTCAAGTAAGTTAAAGATTTAGTCATTATAATCGATTTAATGAGAATATTCGTAAGATAAGTAAATAAAAATCGAATAATTAAAAATGTAGTCATCAATTGGTAACAAAGTAATATGCATAAAGTAATCACGATAATATTATAGTTTGTTAGAGTATGTGGTAAAAAAAGATGTATAAATATGAAAATAGAAAAAAAACTATAAATTTTTTCGTTGTCTTTCTTACATTGTATTGTTATTATTGGATTGTTGAATTGTATGATCATATTATCATAATTGTAAAAAAAAACCTATGGGCAGACATGCACATCGTCGACAATTTTCTGAGCACAAAACTTTACCAACAATGAACGCATGCGTAACCTGGCACCAAGTAACAGTGAAATTCCTATGGCTACATATAACAATCGCCAAAACTGGTGGGAAACATTATCAAATTTATGTAATAATTGTTGTATAAATGCCTACAATACTACATGGAAATGACTGTGTCCTGAATGCAGTTCGCAGCTTCTTTTGTCAACCCCAAAAATTTTTGTTGTAATAACATGTTACGACGTACTATTCCACCTACCATTTACCTTATAAAATCTTTATATAACAAACCCTGATAATTTTAATCATAACAGTCGTCAATACAATTTATTATTTTCTTTCATGGTTTTTGGTTATATGGGTAGTTCTCTTATCACATCCCATGCCCTTGCAATTAATGGTAATGAGTTTATCTTGCTAATGCTAAAGGGTATCCAACAAATTGGTTTGTTTATGATACTAATGCATGAAATTGTGTTGCTAACCAATGTAAGCTTGATTAAGAAATAGTAAATCTTATTGAACAAGAATTAACTACTGTTAATCTATTTGTTAGAAGTTTATATCAACTATATGATGTAGAATATCCTCAAGCACATTTGATAATTCAACAACTGACAAATAATGCTGCTTGCACACACAATCATCCATTCAACAGCTGTAATACAGGAATGGCATGCGCAAATTTGGTAAATTCTATTTATATTAGTATACTAAATGAGATGAAGCATTACAGTATCTATTATTTTTTTTGCATAGTGAAATAAATTGGAATATATTCTGAACATTTGAAACTACAATAAATTTCTCAAGTTGATTATTATTATTGTATTATTATTGTATTATGTTTGAAACTTGATTTTATTTGCTTGGCCATCTTTTTAATAAATATTGAAAAACCTGTCAACGAAGTGACAGGTCGATCATTATTGCGAAATCAGATGACTTTATAACTGGTCAAATTACAGGTTTTTATGTATCCTTTTGTATTTAAAGTGTGTATAATGCTGATAAATAAATACTTCATCATAAACTGGTTCATTATTTTTATAACCAGTTTTTCTAAA